TTGCAAATTTTGTTCAATGAATGCGTGCGGCGCTGTGGCGAGAACAACATTTTGGAAACTAGCCACCCTCAATTCGTGAAGCCCTTGTAAAGTTTGAAACGAGTGTGCGCGGCGCTAAGGCGGGAGCCACAAACCGCCCTCAATTCGTGAAGCTCTGACAAGTTGTTGAAACGAATGCGCGCTGCGCTAAGGCGATACCCACATCAACCTTCCGGTGCGGGATAACGCTTCCCAGTGCGGGGATGCGTTATCCTTTTGCTGGGAGGGGGGGGTCTTAAATGTTTCCTGCGGTTTTTCCAACGTCGTTAGTCAGTCTTGCGATTGCGCTGGTCCTCCTCCTCGTCCTCCACCTTTCCCTCCTCCTTCCGCCTCCTCCCTCCCTCCATCCTTTTCGCCTCCCTCCCTTCCATCCTTCCTCCCGCACCGTTTGACGCCATCCCATGGTCGGGGCGCGCGCCCGGCCGGGCAGCCCGGCGCGGGCCCTCATCGCAAGCCGTTCCCGCAAGCTGCCCTGTCGGCTAAAGCCCGACGCCAGAGCAGTGGGCTCCCCGCACCCGGGGGCCCCCCCAGCATGTAAACTGGTGGGGTGCCGCGCGGGCGGCGGCCCCCAGCACCCCCGCGGTGAGCTGCTGCGCGGGAGCAATTTGGTCTGCAATGAACTACTATTCTTTCCTGGCGGTCCACCCAGCGCGAAGCTGGTGGGCCGCCTGGAAAGAAGAACAACTCCCTCCGCCCTCTCTCATCCTCCTCCTCCTCCTCCTCCTCCTCCTCCTCCTCCTCCTCCTCCTTCCAGCCCACCCTCCTCCTCCCTCCTCGTCGTCCTCCTCCTCATCCGCAGCGTGGTAGGCCATGACCGATGGAACGACATGCTATCCAGATCCACAAGTTCCCGACCACACACTGGTCCTCCTCCTACTCGTCGTCTTCCTCCTCCTCCTCGTCCTTCTCCACTCCCTCCTCCTCCTCCTCTTCCCAAGCCTCCTCTCACCTCCACTCTCCTACTCCCGACTTCATGCTGGTTGCACAGACGTCGACCCCAGAGGATTCGACCCCGACCAGTCCCCGGGACAGGCTTATGGTAAGTCATTTTACTACCGGCCCCGAGGACTGCGCGAACACCCCAGATGCCGAACCTTAGCGTAATGCCGCAGTCGAGATGCTTTCAAGACGCCGTCGTGGGGGTGTTCTGGGTCGTATCCCATAAGATGCATATGCGGCCGCCGTGTCACTGACGACGCAGACGACGCATATGAATCCTCTCACCTCCCTCCTCACTACCACTCCTCATCCTCTCTCTCCTCCTCCTCCTCCTTCCTCCACCTCTCCTGATATCACCCCTCCCTCTCCCTTCCTCCTCCTCCTCCTACCTCCCTCCTCTTCCTTCTCCTCTATTCCTCTCACCCTCCACTCCTCCTCCTCCTCCTCCTGCCTCCTCCTCCTCCTCCTTCCTCTCCTCCTCCTCCTCCTCCTCCTCTCCTCCTCCTCCTCCTCCGCCCCCTCCTTCCTCCTCTCTCATCCTCTCCTCTCTCCTTTTCCTCCTCCTTCCTCTCCTCCATCTCCTCCTCCTCCTCCTCTCCTCCTTACCTCCTCCTCCTCCTCCTCCTCCCCTCCCTCTCCTCCTCCTCCTCCTCCTCTCCTCCTCCTCCTCCTCCTCCTCCTCCTCCTCCTCCTCTTCCTCCTCCTCCTCCTCGAGGGCGAGGCCCGCGCGCGGCGGGCGGGCGTCGGGGCGAAGGCACCCACATGGAGCAGCCCGTGAGCAGAGCGCCGCGGAACACCCTGGGGGAGCGCCCGCCGGCGGGAGGCGGGGCTGGGGCTCGCGCGCCGCGCGCCCGGGGCGCGGGGGGCAGGGGCGGACGAGGAAGAAGGAGGAGGAGGAGGAAGAGAAGAAACGAGAGGAGGAAGAGGAGGGAGGAGGAGGAGGAGGAGGAGGAGGAGGAGGAGGAGGAGGAGGAGGAGGAGGAGGAGGAGGAGGAGGGGCAGGGGGGGGCCCTGACCCCTCGCGCAATGGCGAACGTGTTCTTAGTCGGCGTTTCGGCACTGGGCGGAAGGGGATGGGAGCGGGGGTGTCTGGCTCTGAGTGACCTCTGCTCACTTCGACTGTTTGCAGCACTGCGTCCCGTGGGGAGGCTCCACCTGCTCGAAGCAGGCGCCCAAAACAGCCAAAATCTACTCCGTGGGGGGGGGTACGAAGAGCCCGCGCCGATCGGCAAAACAACGAATAAGGAAACGATCGCATGACAAAAACCACGGCGGGAGGTGTTTCAAAATGTGCAGCCCCTGGAGCCCTTTCCAGGCCTCGGGATCGTCGACAGAACGACGCGGGATACGAGCAGTCGGTCCCAGGGGACGGGTCCAGACCTCGAGGACTCGGCGTTGTGGAAACTCGTGGCGTCGGGAGTCTGGGGACGGAGGGCGAAGCATGGGGGGCATGAGGAGGGGGGGCGGAACCCTGGGGACGAGGGAGGAGGAGGGAGAGGAAACGTAATGGCAATGACAAGAAGGAGGAGAAGGAGGAGAGGGAGGAGGAGGAGGAGGAGGATGAGGAAACGTAATGGCAATGACAAGGAGGAGAAGGAGGAGGAAGGAGAAGAGGGAGGAGGAGGAGGAAACGTAATGGCAATGACAAGGAGAAGGAGGAGGATGGAGGAGGAGGAGGAGGAGGAGGAGGAGGAGGAAACGCAATGGCAATGGCAAGAAGGAGCGGGAGGAGAGAGGGGGGGAGGGCGGAGGAGCGGGGCGGCCGTGAGACAGGATGCGAGAGCACACCGTGCGAAAGGGCCAGGTCGAGAGCGTGGTTCCCTGAGGGTCGGAGGGTCGACGCCCGAATCCATTGCGACGACGTCCCACGCGAGAGCGCGATTGCGCAGACTTTCGAAGGGGGGTCACGCGCGAGAGCGCGTATTTGGAGCACGCTGTGAGGAAGCATGAGGCGGGAGCCGTGGTTGTCGAAACTCGGGGACCAGGTGCGCCGTTTTGGTGACACCCCACTGTCCCTTGTCAGAAACAGGGTGCGGGCCCCGGGAGGAGCACGTTCTTTCGAACTGGAAACTCATCATGAACAACAACAACAACAACAACAACAACAACAACAACAATCACTTTACCCGAACGCTCAGTGTTCTCACCAGTGCCAGGGTTTTCATGCGACGCCAGCCAATACCCCCACTTTGTGGGGGGGCAGTGCAAGCTCTACCAAATATCCACACGACTCTTCGCCACCACCCACACCCAGCTTCCCGCCCTATGACGTTCGGACACTTCACTTCGTGGCCTGCGGACGACCGTGGCTACTACACTGGCGTGGAGTACACACCCACAGAAGTTGTTAAGCCTACGTTCGTACACCCACAGAAGTTGTTAAGCCTTGTTAACCCACAGAAGTTGTTAAGCCTTCCACAGAACATCTGTTGCATATGATGCATATGACACATGATAGAGCGCAACCAATAGGGGGACGTTTTATTCTCGGCGGCCGAGGGCGCAACCTATGGCGCAACCGCAAGGGATTGTGGCCCCTGGCAGGCGCGCGAACCCCGTTGCAAGAGCGTGCGAAAGTAGCTCGCGCGAGCTCATGTAACATAAATGTTGGAAAACCATTGGTTTTTTTAGGATTCGGACAGCGCGCGCGGGTAGAAATTTTGAAAAGTCGTGCAGGTGTTTTTCGAGGACCTACGGTGCGATTCGTGTGATTTTATGATGCGCGGTGCTAAAATTCTTAAGAAGCCCAATGGTTTTTGGAGATTTCGGCGTGCGCGCGCGAAGAAAAAACGAATGTGTCCCGCATGGTATTATTTGACAGGGATGATGGCCCTGGCAGGTGCGCAACCGTTGTCGCAGAAGTTCGAAAAAGTTGCTCGCAAAAGCCCGTTTGACAGAAATGTTTAAAAAGTGTTGGTTTCCTACGAATCCGCAAGAGCGCGCGGGATGAGATTTTGACATTTTTTTGTTGAAAAACCATTGGTTTTTTGATGTTTTTATGTTAAAATCGCTCCGAACACTAAGGTTTTGGAAGGATTTCGTCTTGCGCGCGCGAATGTCCACTTTACCTTATTTTTTGCAAGGGATTCTTGAAATTTGATTATATTAGAACAAGAAATGTCATTTTATAGTGTTTTTTTGCAAGGGAAACGGATTACAACAAAACAACCGGATCTGGATCACATCGTTTTACCTGAGGCTTCTTCACGAAAATGATGAAAATGTAGCTGCGGCCTAGGCGGCGCAGGGGGGGCGTGCACCAGGGGGCCCAACAATAATTATTCTTTAGAATAAATAATGTTCAACAACAACAACAACAACAATTACTAGCACGTGGGGACACTCCGTTCTCACCAGTGCCAGGGTTTTCATAGGAGGCGGGCAATACCCCCACTTTGTGGGGGGGCCGGTTCAAGCTCTACCAAATTTCCAAACGACTCTTCGCCACCACCCACACCCAGCTTCCCGCCCTATGACGTTCGGACACTTCACTTCGTGGCATGCGGACGACCGTGGCTACTATTCAGGGCCCCGCGGCCGACGACGACGGCGTGCGCGCGCGAAGAAAAAACGAATGTGTCCCGCATGGTATTATTTGACAGGGATGATGGCCCTGGCAGGTGCGCAACCGTTGTCGCAGAAGTTCGAAAAAGTTGCTCGCAAAAGCCCGTTTGACAGAAATGTTTAAAAAGTGTTGGGTTTCCTACGAATCCGCAAGAGCGCGCGGGATGAGATTTTGACAATTTTTTGTTGAAAAACCATTGTTTTTTATGTTTTTATGTTAAAATCGCTGCGAACACTAAGGTTTTGGAAGGATTTCGTCTTGCGCGCGCGAATGTCCACTTTACCTTATTTTTTGCAAGGGATTCTTGAAATTTGGTTATGTTAGAACAAGAAATGTCACTTTAGCTTGTTTTTTGCAAGGGAAAGCGGGGGGGAACAAAACAACCGGATCTGGATCACATCGTTTTGCCTGAGACTTCCTCACGAAAATGATGAAAATGTGGCTGCGGCCTAGGCGCGGCGGGGGGGCCGTGCACCAGGGGTCCCAACAATAATTATTCTTTAGAAGAAATAATGTTCAACAACAACAACAACAACAACAACAACAACAACAACAACAACAACAACAACAACAACAACAACAACAACAATACCACCAAGAGGAGGACGGAGGACGGAGGAGGCTTTCGATTCTGGGGGCCGCAGAAGCCCCCCACCACCTCGGGGCGCCGCCACGCCATGCTATGTCAGGTTAAGCGTCCTCATTTCTGCGCTTCCGCGCTTGGTCGTTTTTCCCCAAACAGCTTGCTGAACGGGGTGCTGTTGTGATAGAAGCTAGCTCCGGCCGAGGGAAGTCGGAGCAGAGACATCCTCACAAAAATTTGATGGTCCGGGCCGTTTCGCTTGAGACATCCTCACAACTCTCGTTTCTGAGTTGGCCGGGATTAGCCGTTTCGCCTGAGACATCCTCGAAAAGTTGCGCTCCGGGACGCCGCGCGAGAGGTGGTCTGGGCCGTTTCGCTTGAGACATCCTCGAAACTCTGAGCCCCGAGGTGCCGTGCCGAGAGGTAGTCCGGCCCGTTTCGCCTGAGATATCCTCGCAACTCTGAGCTCTGAGATGCCCTGCGCGAGGTGGTCCGGCCCGTTTCGCCTGAGACATCCTCGAAACTCTGACCTCGGAGATGCCGCGCGAGAGGTGGTCCGGCCCGTTTCGCCTGAGACATCCTCGAACTTCGGAGCTCTGAGATGCACTGCGCGAGGTAGTCCGGCCCGTCTCGCCTGAGACATCATCGCAACTCTGAGCTCTGAGATGCCGTGCGCAAGGTGGTCTGGCCTGTTTCGCAGCAGACATGCTCGCAACTCTGAGCTCCCAGATGCCGCGCAAGAGGTGGTCCAGCCTGGGGGCCCAGAAGACCACATGTTACATATCCTCCCTGGGACCCTGGGAGCCCGCCTGAGACATCCTCGAACTTCTAAGCTCAGAGATGCCCTGCGCGAGGTGGTTCGGTCCATCTCGCCTGAGACATCCTCGCAACTCTGAGCTCTGAGATGCCGTGCAAAAGGTGGTCCGGCCTGTTTCGCACAAGACATTCTCGCAACTCTGAGCTCCCAGATGCCGCGCAAGAGGTTGTCCAGCCTGGGGGCCCAGAAGACCACATGTTACATATCCCCCCTGGGACCCTGGGAGCCCCAGGAGGCCCCAGAGAGCTCCAGGAGGCCGCAGGACGCCCAGGACAGGCCCCAGGGGTCCCCAGGAGGCTCCCAGGAGGCCTCCAGGAGGCCCCCTACTAGAACGTCAAGTTAATACACATCCGGTGTCGATTCGTTGATTTTTCCTGCTCTTGGGCCCCCCCCCCCCTCCATTATGAGAGGCCCAAGCGGCCACAGGTTAGATATCCCTCCTGGGAGCCCCAAGAGGCTTCAGGAAGCCCCAGGTGGAGTTCAGGAGGCCACAGGAGGCCCAGGAGGAAGCCCCAGGAGGTCCCCAGGAGGCCCCAGGAGGCACCAGGAGGCCCCCGCAACTCGGAGCTCTGAGACGCCGCGCTCGAGGTAGTCCGGCCCGTTTCGCCTGAGACTTCCTCGCAGCGCGTTTCGCCCGAGACACCGGCCCGTCTCGCCTGAGACAACCTTGCAACTCTGAGCTCTGAGATGCCGTGCGCAAGGTGGTCCGGTCCGGTTCGCACAAGACATTCTCGCAACTCTGAGCTCCCAGATGCCGCGCAAGAGGTGGTCCAGCCTGGGGGCCCAGAAGACCACATGTTACATATCCTCCCTGGGACCCTGGGAGCCCCAGGAGGCCCCAGAGAGCTTCAGGAAGCCGCAGGACGCCCAGGACAGGCCCCAGGGGTCCGCAGGAGATTCCCGGGAGGCTCCCAGCAGGAGGCCCCAGGAGGCCCCCTATCAGAACGTGTCCAGTTAATACACATCTGGTGTCGGTTCGTTGATTTTTCCTGCTCTTGTGGCCCCCTCCCCATTCTGGGGGGCCCCGACGGCCACATGTCAGATATCCCCCCCTGGGAGCCCCAAGAGGCTTCAGGAAGCCCCAGGTGTGGTCCAGGAGGCCACAGGAGGCCCAGGAGGAAGCCCCAGGAGATCACAAGGAGGCCCCAGGAGGCACCAGGAGGCCCTGCAACTCGGAGCTCTGAGACGCCGCGCTCAAGGTAGTCCGGCCTGTTTCGCCTGAGACTTCCTCGCAGCGCATTTCGCCCGAGACATCGTCGCAACTCTGGGGTCCGAGATGCCGCGCGCGAGGCAGTCTAGCCCGTTTCGCCTGAGACATCCTCGCAACTCTGGGCTCCGAGATGCCCTGCGCGAGGTGGTCCAGCCCATCTCGCCTGAGACATCCTCGCATGTCTGAGCTCTGAGATGCCGTGCGCGAGGTGGTCCAGCCCGTTTCGCACAAGACATTCTCGCAACTCTGAGCTCTCAGATGCTGCGCAAGAGGTGGTCCAGCCTGGGGGCCCAGAAGACCACATGTTACATATCCCCCCTGGGACCCTGGGAGCCCCAGGAGGCCCCAGAGAGCTTCAGGAAGCCGCAGGACGCCCAGGACAGGCCCCAGGGGTCCGCAGGAGATTCCCAGGAGGCTCCCAGGAGGCCCCAGGAGGCCCCCTATCAGAACGTGTCCAGTTAATTCACATCCGGTGTCGATTCGTTTATTTTTCCTGCTCTTGTGGCCCCCTCCCCATTTTGGGGGGCCCCGACGGCCACATGTTAGATATCCCCCCCTGGGAGCCCCAAGAGGCTTCAGGAAGCCCCAGGTGTGGTCCAGGAGGCCACAGGAGGCCCAGGAGGAAGCCCCAGGAGGTCACCAGGAGGTCCCAGGAGGCCCCAGGAGGCCCTGCAACTCGGAGCTCTGAGACGCCGCGCTCGAGGTGGTCCGGCCCGTTTCGCCTGAGACTTCCTCGCAGCACGTTTCGCCCGAGACATCGTCGCAACTCTGGGGTCCGAGATGCCGCGCGCGAGGTGGTCCAGCCCGTCACGCTGGAAACATCCTCGCAACTCTGGGCTCCGAGATGCCGGTCGGGATGAAGAGGAGGTGGAGGAGGAGGAGCAACAGGAGGAGGAGCAGGAGGAGGAGGAGGAGGAGGAGAAGGAGGAGGAGGAGGAGGAGGCATGTTTTAACATTCCATGCCAGCACGCACTGGACGGTCACGCAATCGACCTTGGAAACCGCAGTGGGTCTAGAAACCCTGTTTGGGGATACTGCACTCCGGCTATAATTCAAAATGCTGCTCTCGCTGACGCGCTGGCCTCATGTTCGGGCTTCCGCTCGTTCCGAATCGTGCTCCCGCTGCAGCGCTGGCCTCATTTCTGCGCTTCCGCTCGTTCCGAATCGTGCTCCCGCTGCAGCGCTGGCGTCGTTATTTCCAGTGCCATGCCACGGCATGGTGTTCAGCCCTTAGAAATTAAACCCCAAAATGTAGTAACTGGCACACCCGAAGAAACCATACCGTCCGAACACACATCTCCTGTGGTGCTTAACGCCGAAAATGGAGGTCATAAGGGCCTGGTACGCGGAATTTCGGCTCCATGACAGCCAGCATAAGGATACGAGTGGGGAGCTCAAAAACATTATTTGAGCTTCCCTCTCGAATTATCAGGTCGGCCGTCCTGGAACCTACATACCCGGCAACGGACCTGTTGAACGCAGTCCGACTGCAGATTCGATCTCGCGATCACTTGCTGAACTCACCTCCACCGACCTGCGCAAGCACGACCCTGTCGCCCGCTGAGCCCATCACCCCTGCACTGCTTCGGACGTCGCTCAAGGGGAGGGCGATACTTAGTTGGGAGGGGGGAGAACCCTGCACCTCTCGTGTCCCTGTATGGGCCCCAGGCGGCTCCTTGAGCGCCCCTTGAGGGCACACGAGATGCACCTTTCTCCACCCCCCATTTCTCGGGTGTTGCTAGAAGTGCCCCTGGTCCAAGGTGCCCCCAGGATTTCCCCAAAGAGGCCCCCACGGCCTCCAAGCCACCCCTCACGATGCCCAAAGGGCCCCAGGGGCTCCAAGATCGAACGGAAAGCCGGGGGCAGCTTGGGCCAGGGGCACCTTGAGCAACCCTCGAGATGCATCGCCTCCCACCAATCACACCGCGCCCGACTGCTGCACGCCCCGGCCACGACGGCCTCCACGGGAAGAGCTGCGGATCGGCGATGTCCTTCGCCTTCAGCGGCTTAGTGGAAGACCTCAACGTCTTGGCGGCCTTCATCTCCTACGCGCCGCCGGCCCGCGCGAACCTGTCCCCAGGCTGAGCAGGACGCAGCCGCACTGGCGGAGGCAGAGATGTGCTTCGACGGCTGGGCAGAACAGTCTTCTCGGGCTGGAACAGGCTGTTCTTAGGGTGATGCTCTGTGGGCGGAACTGCGTAGAGGTACAGACGCCCATGTCGATACTTCTCGAGCGGGGCGCGGCCAACGGAAGTGGCGAAGGATGCAAGGGTACCCTTGGAAAGTTTGCACATCCTTGCTATGCGGGTCGACTGTATTCAGGTTGGCGCCAAAAGGCTTAAGCGCCGTTTGAATGACACACCGCAGGTGCTTCTGGGCGTGCGTGCGCAGACCTCCAGCAAAATCACTTTGGCGCTCAACTCTCCCGAATTTGCGCAACATGGGCAACGGGATTTTCCATCACGCGCGCGTCAAGCCGCTCCCCCCTTTCCCAGGCCATATGAAACGATTTGCCCAGCGACCTGGTTGCACACTCGCATTGCAAACAATGCCTGCTTTTATTGTGGCGCCCCACCGGTAAAAGTGAGATGTGTTACGATCGGGTCGTCGCAAGATGAAGCCTGTCAGTTTCCATAACCTTGATGAACGTAACGTACTCCCTCACTCACCCCTGCACGACCACGTGTCAATCCATCCAACAGCATGCTGCAGAACCGAACTTGGAGTGCCAGCGATGTTGCAACCATCGGAGGGTTGAGCGGGCACGGGGGGGATGCTTCTGCAGCTCGGCCCGCCCACTCGCGCTGCCCCAGCCCGCGCGGTCCTGCTGCAGGCACTTGGGCGCATCCTTCTCGAGCTGCGTGGGGGGGGTGACCAGGTACACGATGCCCTGGGCAGGGCGGGCGCTGGCCAGCAAAGGGCTCGAGGCTTCACTGAGGGGCACGGAGGAGGAACAAGGAATGTTAGAGAAAACAGCTCACGGAAGGTTTTGGTCGTCCCCATGGCGCTCAGCAGCGCGCCAAATCGCGCGCCGAGCAGATAGGGTGCATCTCCCTCACATGGCGCTGTTGGGCGCTGTTGGTCGCTATTTGGCCCTGTTTGAGCGCCATTCTCGGCGCTAGTGGGCTTCATGGAACGCGGTTTGGCGCCATTGGTTGCTGTTCGCCGATGCACATTCAGATCCAGGATGCGCGGAAGCTTCCGCGATTCGCGAGATCTAAGGAAGGGAGGGGCGGAGCGAGGACGGGGGTGCGGGGCTGCGGGAGGAGCCTCGTGGGAAGGCGGACGAAACCGGGGGGAGGGACTCCGGTGCAGAGGGCGACCAGAGGGGAGAGAACGGGGGAAGAAGGAGAGGGAAGGAGGCGAAGGGAGGGGAGGAGGGGGGGGAGGAGGCAAGGGGGGAGGGAAGGGAGGGCGAAGAGGAAGGAGGGATGAGGGGGCGACGAAGAGGATGTCTGCACTTTTACGAATGCGGTCGGGGAAGTTTGGTTGGCGTCGCGGCGGCGGCCACGGCGTCACGCTATCCCTTGCACTGCAAGCGGATAGCGTGTCGCCCCGCTCAGCGGGGCGGGAGGCGTGGAGAAGCTCGGGACGTTGACGCTCGGAGACTGGGACATGGATAGCGTGTCGCACCGAAGCGTGTTGGGCCAGAACCGGCGGAGCGAGACGCTAAGCAAAAGTTCTCGATCGTACTTGGCTGCACTCCTAAGAGGACGCGGTCTCCCAATTCGAGCTGCCCAACTCCCCAGACATGCGATGTACGGTAGTGGGTGTGGGTGTGGGTGTGGCTATGGGTGTGGGTGTAGGTCTGGGTGTGGGTGCAGGTCTGGGTCTGGGTCTGGGTGGTGGTGTGAATGTGTGTATGTGTGGGTGTGGTTTTTCATGTCGAACAATGTTTCAACGGTCCCCTGGCCTGGCGAGGGCCCCAGGAGGCCGAGAACGCCGAAAGCCATCCCGTCGGGACTTTTCAACGGCGCGAGCATGTCTGGGCCGTGAAATCCGAGAACTCGGTCACTTCGAGACATCCGTGTCGCCATCCTCCCCCCCCAACTGGACGCCCGAAATGGGTATGGGAAAGATGGGCACGATGCCCAACAGCAAGTGCTGCTCAAAACCGACAGCTGCCGCTGTTGGGTAGGCGGCCTTCTGTTTCAAATGGGCAACGTCCGCGGCGACACAGACGGCAAAGCCTGTGCAGAATGGAAAGGCACTGGTGGAAAGCATATCTTGTTCGCACCGACAACGGGCGATTTTGGGGGGGGAGACGCACAACGCAACGCCGCGCCCCCCGCCGTGACAGACTGCGGTGCCAGACGCTGTACGACAAAGCTGGGGACGCACTGGGCGGGGAGGAGAGCATCGCGTCATGATGTGTGGGGAGGGAGAGGGGGAAGGAGGGGGGGGGAGAGGGGGGGAAGGAGGATGGGGGAAGGAGGAGGGGGAAGGAGGGAGGGGGAGGAGGGGGGAAGGAGGGGGGGGGGGAAGGAGGGGGGGGGGGAAAGGATGGAGGGGGGGGAAGGAGGAGGGGGAAGGAGAGGAGAGGGGGGGGGCACAACGCGCCTTGTGGCCCACAGGGTGACAAACACTCTCCTGGACAACGTCCGCGGCGACACCGACGGCAAACCGTGCTCAGAATGCACAAGAATTGCTGTCTGCCTTCGTACCCATTCTTTCCATACCCCTTTCAATCGTACCGACTCGAACAACACGACCGCCGGCGCGCCGCCCTCCCGGACCCGGCGGCCCCCGCGCCTGCAGCGCCGGCGGCACCCAGAATTCGGAGGAGAACCAGGGCTGGCCGGGGGCCTGGGCGAGGGAGGGAGGAGGGGGGCATGGGAGAGAAGGAAGGCCTCCTCCTCCTCCTTCTCGTCCTGCTCCTCCTCCTCCTGCTCCACTTCTTGTCTGCTCGTCTTGTTACCTCGTCCCGTGTTGATGTTACTGTTCTTAATATTGGGATTGCTCTTATTGGTGAGAATGTTTCTCGTTGTATTAATGGTGCCATATTCTTCCTATTATCCGACATCGTGTACTGTGTACTCTACTCGGCGGAAGAGTGCGTCAGTGTGGACATCCCCAAACAAACAAAACACAACTCGGGAGTTGGGCGACGTAAGCAGGCTTTCGTCGTCCTTCTCTTTCTCCCCCTCTTCCTTCTCCCTCCTCCTTTTCGTCATCCCCCTCGCCCCCTCCCTCCCCTCCTCACAGGCGGGGGCACTAGAACATGCCATTTTGCGCTAACCACGACCCAACGGTTGACCCAACGTATCCATACCAAGTGTTGCGCAAAAGTTTTCGCTCGGTAGCCTCGAAAGAGAACATCTAGATAAGCGAGCACGGCAAGCGACGAAAGGGCGGGTGCGTAGGAGCGCGCCGTCTGTGCTCAAGCGATAGAACCAAAGTTCGATGAATTCTCAAAAACGCTTCTAAAGGCGTGTCCGCATACTCGAGCACTTGACACATAGCGACCCCACCCCCTGCGCACCCCCTGCGGCGCTGAAAATGCGCCACACCTGCCACGCCCTGGGACCCTGGCACGCATGGCGACCCCACCCCCTGCGCACCCCCTGAGGTGTGGAGAGTGTACCCAGCCTGCCACACCCTGGGATCCTGGCAGGCATAGCGACCCCATGCCCTGCACACTCCCTGTTTTGTGGAGAACGTGCCACGCCTGCCACGCCATTGGACCCTGGCACGCATAGCGATCCCCCCCCTGCGCGACCGCCCCCATGCGCACCCCGTGCTGTGTGGAGAATATGCCACGCCCGCCACACTTTCTAACCCTGGCACACATAGCGACCCCACCACCTGCGCACCCTCTGCGAAATGAAGAATGTCTCACGCCTCCAACGCTCTGGGGCCATAGCGCTCATGCGACCCCGCCCCCTGCGCACCAACCCCACCCCCTGCGCACCCCATTGCGGTGTGGAGAGTGTGCCACGCCTGCCACATGTTCCGACCCTGGCACGCATGGCGACCCCACCCCCATGCGCACCTCCTGCTGTGTGGGGAACGTGCCACAAATTCCACATTTTCAGACCCTGGCACGCATGGCGAACCCCACCACCCTGCGCACCCCCTGCGGTATGGAAATTGCGATACACCTGCCACACCCTGGGATCCCGGCACGCATGGCCACCCCACCCCTGCGCAACCCCCGCGGTGTGGAGGATCTGTCACGCCCGCCACACGTTCCGACCCTGACACGCATAGCGACCCCACCCCCTGCGCACCCCCTGTTGTGTGGAGAACGTGTCACGCCTGCCACGCCATGGGACCCTGGCACGCATGGCGGCCCTATTTTCACGCGGACCTGCTGCTGTGGAGGTTAGGTCACGCCTGCCACACGTTCCGACCCTGGCACGCATGGCGACCCCACCCCCATGCGCACCTCCTGCTGTGTGGGGAACGTGCCACACCTGCCACACCCTGGGACCCTGGCACGCATGCGACCCCACCCCGTGCGCACCCCCTGCTGTGTAGAGAACGTGCCACGCCTGCCACGCCCTGGGGCCCTGGCACGCACAGCGACTCCACCCCCTGCGAACTTTCTGCGGTGTGGAGAACGTGCCACGCCTGCCACACTTTCAAACCCTGTCACGCATGGCGACCCCACCCCCTGCGCGACCCCTGCGGTGTGGAGAACGCGCCACGTGTATGCGTGCTGTGTGTATGTGTGCTGTATATCTGTGTATGTGTGCCAGGCGTATGTGCTGCGTGCGCGTGCTCGTTGCATGTGCGTGCGACTGCATGTTCGTTTGCGTCTGGTTGCCTGATGCGCACGCGAGTGCAGGTGAGAAGGGTGAGGAGAGGAAGATGTGCGTGTGTGTGAGAGAGAGGAGACGCGAGTGCGACGCGGTAGGAAAGAAAACTAGACCCCCACGAAACATGTGCGGAAAACGGGGACCCTGGGATCCCGGCACGCACGGCGACCCCACCCCTGCGCAACCCCCGCGGTGTGGAGGATATGTCACGCCCGCCACACGTTCCGACCCTGACACGCATAGCGACCCCACCCCCTGCACACCCCTTGTTGTGTGGAGAACGTGTCACGCCTGCCACGCCATGGGACCCTGGCACGCATGGCGGCCCTATTTTCACGCGGACCTGCTGCTGTGGAGGTTAGGTCACGCCTGCCACACGTTCCGACCCTGGCACGCATGGCGACCCCACCCCCATGCGCACCTCCTGCTGTGTGGGGAACGTGCCACACCTGCCACACCCTGGGACCCTGGCACGCATGCGACCCCACCCCGTGCGCACCCCCTGCTGTGTAGAGAACGTGCCACGCCTGCCACGCCCTGGGGCCCTGGCACGCACAGCGACTCCACCCCCTGCGAACTTTCTGCGGTGTGGAGAACGTGCCACGCCTGCCACACTTTCAAACCCTGTCACGCATGGCGACCCCACCCCCTGCGCGACCCCTGCGGTGTGGAGAACGCGCTACGTGTATGCGTGCTGTGTGTATGTGTGCTGTATATCTGTGTATGTGTGCCAGGCGTATGTGCTGCGTGCGCGTGCTCGTTGCATGTGCGTGCGACTGCATGTTCGTTTGCGTCTGGTTGCCTGATGCGCACGCGAGTGCAGGTGAGAAGGGTGAGGAGAGGAAGATGTGCGTGTGTGTGAGAGAGAGAGGAGACGCGAGTGCGACGCGGTAGGAAAGAAAACTAGACCCCCACGAAACATGTGCGGAAAAAGGGGACCCTGGGATCCCGCCACGCACGGCGACCCCACCCCTGCGCAACCCCCGCGGTGTGGAGGATATGTCACGCCCGCCACACGTTCCGACCCTGACACGCATAGCGACCCCACCCCCTGCACACCCCCTGTTGTGTGGAGAACGTGTCACG